GTCGCACGTTGACTACTGATTGAACTAAATTTCCCGCAGCACTGACTGTACAAGCAATATACAGTAATATGATCATTTACAGCCAGTGATGGCCAAGCGGGCGTGTCATAACTAATTGACATGTTGAGTTAGGTGTGTCTTAATCCACATGGCAGAGGCTCTCTCAAATCCCTGAGACGATATATATTTCCAAGATGGTGCCCGAGTCGGCAGCCGTCGGCAAGTGCTCTTCAAGAGACTTGCTTTTTTTGTTGTTTTTGTGTCTTGTTTGTCACATGGTGTTGTTGATACGTCGTGTGGACCTCATGTGGATTGTTTTCAGCATTTTTTGGCTATGCCATTCGTCAAAAGAGAAGAATCTGAGCTTGGTGGTTGCGCCTTCTCGGCAGCACACGTGTACCCGCACTGATTTTGATTGGGAGGAATGTCGGCGCCATTTGACTGTCGGTGCTTGTGTTTTTGCACCTGTAATGGGCAGCATTTTTCACAGCCCGTTTTGTTCAGCGGAAATGTCGGTGCTGTTGGACAGTCTGCGGCTGGATGGATGGATGACTTGTGGAGCCGACGATGAGAAGAAAGGAGCGTCAGTGCAGATGCGTATGTGGAACTGGGAGTCGCGGCTTGGAATTGAAGCGGATTTACATGAGACAGGAGATGTGAGCCAATCTCTTTTTCATCAATGGAAGCTACAGCTTCTTGTTTGCTTTCAAACTTAGCTTGTAGCAGACGTGTGCACATTTTCAGTATGACGTCTCTGATCCACTGGTGAAAGGACACTTTGATTCTCCTCTTTCATCTAGAACTGCTTCAAACAACAAAGTGTATGCAGAAAAGGTGGTTAAGATTGCACGACTGTCTGTGTCTTATATGTTGTATTATTTTGTCATTTTAGTGAACTGTTCTATTGATGGCGGCGCGGGCACCCGCAGCGGCTCCTCTCTCTCCTATGGTTGAGAGGAAAGAAATTTCATCTGTGCTGTTTGTTGCACATAGAGCACATTTGACAATAAAGTTGACTTGAACTTGATATATACATACGTGTGCGCGTGTATGCGTGTTTGCGTGCGTGCGTGCGTGTGTGAGTGAAAGTCCTCTTCCTCGAAAACCAAAACATCACTCGCCATTAAGTGTCCTGTGTTGTGTAATGGAAATTATACAGTGTCTTAGTGGTGTGGCATGCTGGTCGGCTACTAAAACGTCGCTTCTGCTAAAACTAGCGGTGGCAATAGTAACTAAACCCACGATGCCTGGTCATGCCAGTGTTAAAACTTCCAGTAGGTTTGGAAGCACTCAATGAGGAGTGAAAACCTATTTTTAATCGAACTCTAGTTGACAACTTGCAGGAAGTGACGTGTTTGCATTACAAAACATATTACCAATCAGAAAATGAATTTTAATGGACTGAAAAATCGATGGAATCTGACGTGAAAACAAGTGTCAGCAGAGAGTGGATATTTGGAACATTGATTGCACTGCTCGTTAAGGACCACTTTAAAACTTATAGTGAGATCTTGTGTTTGCGCACTCCTCTTGTGTTCAGCAAAGTGTGTCACCCTTTGGCAGCTGTCAGAGTCCACAACTGTTGCTTTGGACCCCATTCAAATCCACAGCTTTGTGCATGCCTGCTTCGGCATAAGTTGAGACCTACGTCCAATGTTTCATAACTTGTTGACTGACTGTGCAGGGACTGTTTTGACCTCCCAACCAGCCCATAAATGACCTTGTTTAACGTCAGCCTTGCATTGAACATGCCCTCTGTTCGTTGTGTGACTCCATATTGCTCACATTTTCTTCTCAACACATGCCTTGACTGTTCAGTTACCACCCAAGCCCTCCCTTGAAAAATATGCCTTTCTCATTAACTCTCATGAGCATTGCTATCCAGTGGTGAATATTCCGCAATGCTGCCTGTTACTCCTCACCAGAGGTTATTATAATAACTAACTTATACCACACCTTAAATTTATAAAAACTAAAAAAAAAAGTGCTTTACAGTTCAATCTTTTTCACAAAACGTATACTTTAGACAAAAAATACGCAATGCTGTATGGGGAACTGAATGATAAATTCCGTCATGCCGGATTGTCTCAGTTATTTTGGCTCATTGTCATAGATGGTCGCTTTGAATAAAATTTAATATGATACACGCATTGCAGTATGAGTCGACCCAGTCCTAATGCATGTAGCAATGTTGCAGAGCTGTTTCAATTAGCTAATCCCGTGCCTGATTGATTTATAGGTATCACGCACATGCTGTCTCCTCCTCCATTGTCAGCACACTTGTTCTTGACCAATCCCAACACAGCAATACCCATAACTCCACCCACTGCATCTGTTGGTGTCACCATGGGTTACCGTGGGTGGTGGCCAGTCATGTCCCTTGCTTTGGTGAGGAGAATCTTTTTATTTCTTCGGTCCGAGGAAAACCCCTTGCGATGCAGCATCTCATCTTCACCGAGCCGCAACACAATTACACAACACATTCAAACACAATACGGATTCATTACAAAATCTAATGAGAATGTTGTTTTCACTCACATCCCTCTCCCCCTCTACCGGCAGCATGAAAATCCCTGCTTCCTCTCCTCGTCAGTTCTAGTTTACATGCTGTACCAATAGTAGAATGGGTATGTGTCAGACACTGTCATAAAATGCTGAGACTGTTTATCAACGCGCCGGATTCAGAATGCAAATTTGAGGTCAATGTTCGTCATGCACTCACCAGTAGAAAAATTTGATTCATTGTGATTTGTTTTGGAAAATTGTACGCTTTATTTAAATCACTTGACAGCACTATATAAACACAGACTATATATGCTGGCAACCTATTCTAGTAATTTGGTTCAGTAGAATGACAGCATATGGAATCACTCAAATATTCTAAAATCTTCAATGAATCAACTCTATTGATAGAGCACTTGAGATGGGAAATGTCTATGGCTCAAACCAGTGATATAGTGGCCTGCCATTACTATTAGGTACATCCGCACATTTTGCCACAATTTATCACTTGAATCTGGCACTTTATGACTGACTGTTCCCTTCTGAATCTGCAAAAGAGGGCAATCGGCATGTTCCATGTGGCTAACTCCAGACCACAAAATAATGTGGAAAACAAACACGTGGCAGAGGTCAGTCAAAGGCAGCCATTATTAATGCGGCCTATACTAAAGCAGACACAGAAACAGCGTATCCTTGAAAGCCATTGATTGCCATTAGCTGACTGTTTGGTTATAATGTTTTGTATGTTTGGATTCCTTCCCCCCCTTCAACAAAACAGCACACTTGTTTTTTCAGTGTGATGAACTGCAGTGTAAATGTAGCCCAACAGGTCCCATATAAAAAAATAAATAAATAAAAACATTTAAAAAGCGCCTAGAGGATCCGCTGCTCTCACGACTTGTTGTACGTCTGTTCATGTATGCCAGGACCAAGCCCTTCCTACCCTTCCGCCCTGTCCAACTGTTTATCAGCCATGCTGCCAATTTTCCTCACTAATTATTCTACACACCCTTGCGTCTCTGCTCTCAGCTTCCTTTTATGTGCTTCACGCAGATCTGTGTTTGTGTTCAAAGCATTGTCGTGTCCACCATTATTGTCACATTTCCCAACCCACTGCAAGACCTTCACACTTTCTCTTCTTGTTCTGAACACCACCCACCCACGTGCACAAACACACATGGGTGCCCTCCCAGCCCTTTGGAGAGATAGTAGAGTGGCAACTGAACCATTCGGTGCCTATCACGTTGTTATGGAAACTGTGTTGACGTGCTGAAATGTATTCCACAGTCACTTCTGCAGTCCATGTTTTGTCTGTTTTTAATGCGAGTCAGGATTTGTTTGGGTGAAGCTGCAGCCAAGGTTACACTGGGACCAGGACAGGATTTTTTTTTGCCAAACAATAGGGCATTCAATATGAAGGAATTAAACATACTCACCCACACGCAACGCAATTTGGCAAATTTTTGACAACTTTGATCAGAAAAGGAGAAAAAACATTTTAAATCTGGCCCGGTCATTGGCATGTGCACTTTAGAACTTTGCACAAATTTATCGTATCTGTGTTAAGAAGGAAACGGAAACCACAACATCAAACAGCGGGTGGGACCTCTATATTGAAGGTTTTAAATTCCAAAAGGTAGAAATATATTTTAGACAAGACTGCAATGCAGTGGTTCTCAAACTGGGCTTCCCTGAACCCTAGATGTCCGCGAGCCCTGGCCTGAGGTACTCAGAGAAAACTGCTAAAAATGCATATCTACGTTTGGGACTTAAAAATATATATTCCTCCCGAACTGATATAAATAAATAAACATAAACCTGACCCCCGCATGAATTTAAGGTATGAAAGATCCTATTTTTTTTTCAGGAGCAATGGGAGTATGAGAACATAGTCCTATTTTTAAATTACAGAATTTTTTACAGGAATAAATGGTTTAATATAATGAGACTAAACTGTCTTCCCTTGGTAAATGTCTTAAAAGCATAATGTTACGACTTTAACATTGCAAAATACAACCTATTTTTTATAAAGCTCACACGCTGTACCTTGACAAAATGATTTTCTTTTTTTCCCACATGGTACACGTACACTTGTAGTTATGTACCTGGATTGAAAAAGTTTGAGAACACCTGCTCCAAAGAACTAACAAGGAGTAGATAGCTAGCTAGCTAGAAAGATCGAAAGAAAGAAGTGCTGAAAGGACAGCGTCCTTCTTTTGTTGGACTGGGTGTGACTTCAGGAAACTCGTCTACAAGGTTTGATATTGGCCTTTAACTTTGACCGGAAACGCCCTTCATACACGTACTACGTCCTTACATGACAATGCTTTCAATTGTTTGAGTATTCAGTTGTGACATATACATCGCTTTGTCAGTGTTGGATGTTTCCAAGTAAGAAGGAACAATTGTGCTCTTGGTACTCTCCCGCATCTTGATATCTTCAACACCGGCTCCAGTTTACCCTCTTGCGCTTTTATTTTGACAGGCTTAGCTCCCGGTGTGTCCCTAACATCGTCGGACTTGTCACATTGTGGTCGCATGCTCGTAGCTTAGAAACAAAAGTCTTATCACGTTAACATTTTCTCGGTTTTTTTTTCGCCACTTGAAGGCATTTTCACTAGGGTGGGTCTGCTTTCATGTTGCATTGTCCTTTTCATTTGTCCGCTTTAGTCACGCTGCCACCACCTACCTGCAATTGAAGTCATCTCAAGGCGGTGGCCGTGCAGGAGAGCGGAGCTGAGATAAAGGAGATTTTTTTGAATATCTATATTTTGGCCTCCTGTACAGCTGCAACACCGTCTGCAAGGCATGTCGACCACCGGGGAAGTGGCAGCAAGCGGCTTTTTTAAGAACATGGGCTCCGACAGCCCCGCCAGACCGAGGCAGCAGTTCTGTGGCATGTTCTGCCCGGTGGAAGGCTCCTTAGACAGCAAGACTTTGGACTTCGATGCGCTGTCTGCGTGCAGAGGAAAGCGAGACAGTCGAGTCATTGACCGGCAGAGCGACATTTCCCAGCCCAAGAAGGTGGAGATCAGGGAGAGCACTGGCAAGGAGGCTTTGCAGAATCTGGATGATGGAAAGGTAATATATATTTTTTAATCCCAATAAAGTTTTCCCTCAATCCCGCTCTGCACTGAATATGTTCTAAAACCACACATGCATCATAAGCATAGGCAATTACATTGAACATCTCTTGTGTTCACTGGCCACCAGACAACTCACTGACTCAATTTCCCAGCAAGCCTAAATTGTGACGCAACCGCATGCAGAGCTGCTAGAGGGCGTGGCCGAGGACATCCTCGTTTAATTAGCTAGCATTACAGTGCATTTATGTAAAACAACAGCCAACGCATGCTTACAACGTATGTTATTTCAGACTTAATTTCTCTGGGGTGCATGGGGTGAGGGTGTATGAGGATGTGGCACATTAGCAGGAAAAGCGATCAACTTTTTTTTTTTAATGCTGCTCCTGCTAATTCGTTTTGTAGCACCAATGATGTTGATGCATCCCTTATGTTGTTTTTAAGCACTCAGGATGCTGTTAAAAGCTTTTAGACGTGGTGTTGAGCTTGGGTTTCATGTTGCATATTGATTGGAAGCCTTTGGGACACATAAGCTAGGTATGACTGGATCTCAACCATTGACATGATGATCAGTTCATTTATCGACACTCACTCTAATACAGAGTTGTAGCCGGATAAAGCAGCTAAAATATATTTAATTTTTTTTCAGTGTGATGGAGTGAAGATTGATTTGCAACCATAAACATATTGTTAAATAAATACCTCTCTGGCAGCATTGAAAATGTCAGCATTACGATCCTCATCAAGTATTTGATGGAGTTCTTGCATGGCTCTCATTTGATTATGCACACCAAATGCTCAGATCCAGATAAAATAAAATGACTATGTATAGAATCAGAATACAGCACTTGAGCATGTTTTTTGTCATCTTTTGAGAAGGAGCTGCACATACATACACGGTGTGTGAATGTGCATGTGTTTTCTCTCTCTCTCTCTCTCTCTCTCTCTCTCTCTCTCTCTCTCTCTCTCTCTCTCTCTCTCTCTCTTTCTCTGTCTGTGAGGCTACATTCAAAACTTGCTAGCAGTTTTACTGCAAACTCCCCCCATTAATTTAAGGCCAAGGACAGAGAGTATCTTGCTTCTCTGCATCCCTTGCCATTGTTGTTTTCACTTCCGGTTTACGTTCTTCCATGTTGCTACTTAAGCCAATATCTCAGTCAGTTGAAGTATCAATTGCTGTTTTCTTTACTTCTCTCTATTTCCCTTTTTTATATATTGTGTTGTCATTTGCAGAGGTTGCAAGATAATGCGCTAAATTTGGCGAAAGTCGAAAGTACAGATATCTGTTTGTAAGTATAGAATACAACAAAATAAATGTGGGGATAAAAAAAATAAATACTCAAGCAAAACATCTGAAAAAATACAGTAACAAAGTATTTGTACTTAGTTATCTCTCACCGCTGTCTAATCCTAGGAGAGCAATTACTGTAACGGCATTCTGTCAATGGAACAGGGCGAGGCTTTGCGCATGCGCAGCGGAGTTCCTTTTTTTTTTTTTTTTTTTTTTTTTTACGGGGACCAGGCTCGCCTCGGCCCCTCCCCTCTTGTCTGGCTGGAAAAGGCTCGGTGCATCGGCGGAGACCGGGAGGCTGCCAAGGACTCCATCCTGACTTTCAGTCTCGCATATTTCTTGCCGTCTGTCACATTTTTTGGGGGGTGGGGTCACTTGGGGAGCTTCCTGAAGAACGACCGTGCTCCAGCGTTTCTCACATCACATCCTCTGAGCCTTTCCCTCCCCTTCATTCGGTCGGCGCACGTAGCGGTCCCCGGCGAAAGCAAGGCGCTGAAGATGTCTGGCTACCAGGGCAAGAAGAACATCCCTCGCATCACAGTGAGTTGCCGTGGCGGTGTGGTTGGGCCCGCCGGGTGTGGGAACAGGATGTCATTGGGAGCGCTTTGGTCTCACCCTCCCCTCTTAAAGCAGCGATCTGAGCCGCCTGCTCGCCCTTCGTCGTCGTCTTAATGATTTTTCGATACAGCGGATTGACGCTACTTTTACGGTATTTTGAGGGAAGACGCGTGAAGCGTCAATTTGGCACGCTTAAAACGGAGCTTTGCGCACTAAATGTTGCTATAATGCAGGTTTAGGTGCACTATGCGATTCTGAGTCAGCTTAACGCCGGTGCTCTTTGTTATAAACGCAATTCCTGCTGCATGCAAGGTTGGTATGAATCGCTGTTGAATCCCCCTTTTTTTGTTTGAGATTTCAAGAACGACAGGGCATTTAAGGGCAAATTGATCGTGTCACATTGGGGGTGATTCTTAATTTTTCTGCCCTCAAATCGTTTTGGAGCTCACAAGGATGTACATTAGTGACGAGGGAGGAGGAAGGGAGGGGGCAGTGGCTCCTTTTTCCTTCCATGTTTCTGCTGTCTTCTCAACTGAGTGAAAAAAGGATGAACAGGAGGAGCCAACCAGTAAAAAGGAGTAAAGGAAGTGCACGAGCAATAGAGATGGAGCCGCGGGGTCTTCTTCTTTTCTCAGTGCTCCCATGCACATTGCAGAGGCATACACTCGGTGTTTAATACTTTATACAATTACATGACCCAACATTGTATATTTTATTTGTAAAGGGCATTGTGGTGGCTTACATTTTATGCTTACTGTTCCCAGTGCTGTGACCAGTGGGTGTAACTTTATGTCCACTTACAGGATTTAAAAAATGAAATGTATCAAAGTACATGCATTATGCTTCCAATTTATTACAGTGCTGACTCGATTCATCTTTCATAGACATACTATTGATGATTTGATGGGTAGATTTGATGATGTCATCCTTGGTTGATTTAAGGCGTTTGCAAGCAGCCAGTTGGTGGTGCGTGGAGAGATCCGAGGATTAGTTGGTGTGGAAGTCCTTACGGTAATTAGGTCAAACATAAATGGATAGAAGGGCTATTCCTGAATTGGGCATGTCAGAAAAAGAGACCAGAGGCATTTTTCTTTCAAATTTAAACAGATGGGGCAAACATAAACTCATCACTGTTTTCTTTTTGTTTGTTTGTTTGTTTTGTTTTGGTCACAGTTTTGTCAGTATGGTTCATAAAATGAGGTGAGCAGGGTAAAATTGACCATCATGTTTTTTTTTTAATTCCATAAAGGTTGTTGAGGGGAACTATTATGTAAACAAGGGACAGGACAAATATATGACAGATGCAATTTAATTTTCAAAAATCCTCCTTAAATTAGGTTATATACGCAAATGACATGAGCAGGCAGTTATCATCTGTCTCATGCGACTAACCCCCCCTCACCCCCCCGACCAGAGACAGCTTGCTTTGTCTCCCAGCAAAGTGATAATACAATATCAGAGAGAGAGAGAGAGAGAGAGAGAGAGAGAGCAAAAATGTCTCCCTTCTTGTCTTCACAATACAAAAAATATTATATGAGGGTTATATAGAATCACTTGTATAAATGCAAAATGTTTCGAACCATGCTGCATTTGTGTGAAAAGTCTATTAAACCAAATGGAGACCGGCTAGAAAATTAGTGGATTAAATGTGAATCAAGGGATCTTGCCTCATTCCCAAAATCTCTCTGTGTTGCATGTCCTCACAAATTGTTGTTTCTATAAGTGCAGTCTCCAGTGATATTGTTCTTTTCACAGAACAGTAACTGCTGTGTCCTGTACAGACTCAGCTGTGCAGCTGGTACAGTACTTAGATGCTGACCGCATTTCTCATCAATTAAACATGAACGTAGGCAAGCTCACCACCTGGAATCGGAGTTGGATGCATCACCACGAATCAATGTCTGTGATTTCTCCTTCGATGAGGAAGATCACCGGAGACTGGGAAGATTTACAGTTGAAGTGAAAAAAAACTGCTATTGACAAAAGAAATCTACCTACACCCATGCACACAGTTAAACTGCACTTTGCACTCGACTTGTGCTCGGCACAAAAAATAGGGCGCTTTTAGCACGGTATTGATTCAGTTTTCTTCTAGGAACATGACAATCTTGTGCTCAGAATTGTCTGTTTCAGGCATTGTGCTTATTATGCCTTCCTGAGATTTAATGCTTGAAAAAAAAACCAAAAAAACACACCACAGGACGAAGCTTAAGTTGATGTATAAATTGAAAATGTCGATCATAAATCCGAAATATTTTTTGCATCAGCAATTTGACTTTATTTGCAGCCCATCAAATGAAAAGCACACTAAGTGAAGACCAAATCTATTTTTTAAAGGAGATTAAAAGAAAAAAGACGTTATAACAAGAGTGACCTGCTCTGGAGCTACAATGTTTAACATCTGAGCTCATATTAGGCAGTGTACACCTGCAGTACTGCACTTGTCCCATAGTGAGCCGGCACTTACTTTTCCAAGGACCCCCTCCCAATTCATGTTATCTCACAGCACACAGCAGCCTGGGGCGCTGTCTGTTTACACATTACGCAGCATGCTGCTCTCCCTCCAAATACAGCCACCCATCATCCACTGGCTTAGTCGCCACCCTTCGAGCGTAATCCGAAGTTTCCTCAAAGTCAAACCCCAGACAAAGGTGCATAGAAATGGAACATTTTCCGTTACTTCGCGTTTGAACAAGGCACACCATTGTGTTTCAAAGTCAGGAACAAGACCGCAGTGACTCTGGTTGCTCTGAGTCCTTTACTGAGGAGGTCAACAAGGAGTCTTTATTTTCTGTGTGTGTAGTTTTAAGAAGTGGATTGAAGAAATTTCAAAGAAAAGGAATTATTGATCGAAAAAACAATGAATAGCTAGAAAGTTCATTTAAAGTGTTTTCAACAATATGCAGGAGGACAGCCTTCCATGACCTAGTGGTTAGCACATCTGCCTCACGGTTCTGAGGTTCTGCGTTCAAATTTTGGCTGCCTTGTGTGCTGTTTGTGTGTAGGTTTTCTCTAAGTTGTCCTTTGGTGTGAATGTGAGTGTTGGTCTGAGTGGTTAGTCTTCATGTGCCTTCTAAATGACGAGCGCATCAAAGTTGATTTAGCATATTAGTTGCCCCTTTGAAATAAGGCCTTTTAACTAGACTGAT